TATGTTTGCACCTCTGAGCGGTCACTCTTTAGAACGCTGCCATCCAAAAACTATTAAAGATACGATCTTCCTACTTTCACAGGATATTTATGGAAATATAAGCTTTCGAAAAAGCAAATAAAATTTTTTTTTTTTTTTTTTTTGAAAGTATCACACTGGTATAGTGAATTAAGCAACGCTAATGCGCATTGAAATTTTATGGTGACAGACGGCAGACTTGTGCATTTAGACAGCTGATTGTGAAATTTGTTTATTTATTTAAAAAAGTGAAATAGAAATTAATAGAATAAATTATTAATAGCAATTTTGGTATTTTTGGAAAATCAATATAAATTTAACGAATTTATTATTAACTACGTTAATAGATAATAGAGTGAAATTAGAAGCAATATGTAATTGATTGTAATGCGGAAAAAGTGTGCGAAAAAGTTAAGAATATTGGAAAAATGGATAGCTAACTGTGCGTTGTTTATTTTCCGCAATCTAAAAATATTAAAATTTGTTTTTGTTAACATACTTGAACATAATTTAATTAGCAATATAAAACTGCTCACCTCTCAGTGTTGCCTACTCAAATTTGGTAAATTGAGCTAAATGCACGAAATTCTTGTGCATTACAAATGCGCAGGCAAATGTAAATTAAGTCCGCTAATGCATATTAGCGCTATCGTCTGTCAGGGCTATAATTGTACTGTTGGGTAATTAACCGTTAGGTGGCCTATAGTAGCCTCAAAATCATATTTTCATTCTTGGCTTGGCATGAGTTTTCAAACTTGTAAGAACAATTTATAAAATAATATACAAATTATTAAACTTAATTATTTKTTACACTTTCATTAGGTGTTGGCTGCGTTAGAGGAATTTGGAAAAGTTATTCATACATGCAGCCGCAATTAAGATTTTTTGACACAAGAGGATTATTGGGGAATGAGGCACTCTGCCAAAACGTATTTTAAATATAAATTTCTTGATTTCATATTACCTGAGTACATGTATATTAAATGTTATTTGTATAACTCGAAAACTCTCWAACTAACAAAAAATTGTATATGCAACTTTAATAATTTTTTATGTTTTTTCTCACAAAAAGTTAATTAATCTAGAGATTATTTCATAAAAATGAAGTGCCAAGGAGAAAACTCTCGATGCTATCTATAGTACTTTTCATAACTATCGAAACTGTTGAGTGCTGTTTGATTATCGTTTTGCAGATTTACATATCAGAGAGCCAAGCTTAATCAAAATATTTAGATTTATGTTTTACTCAAGTTTTCGAATGCAYGCACGGACAAACCCGGTTTTCATCTCGTCTCGTCATCCTGATCATTTATATTCATATACTACATAACTCTAATAGATATAGAATTCAGGTGATACAAGCAACCGTTAGGTGAACAAAACTATTAGAGCAACATTATATCAAGCTCGAGATAATTACAGCATTTATAACCAATCATATAAGTAAATATTGGAATTTATTTATTTYAGAAAGATTTACATGCATTGCATTCATACTTCTACTTACATACATACACGTCAAGGCATTAAATTATTTACATTCAATATATGACACAGTTGAAAGGCCATTTAAAGTAATAGAATTCGAATCTTAATGGAAGTAATTAAAAMCTCACTATTTGCGGATTGTAATAGGATTAATTTATCTCAAAGTTCAAAAGATCAATGCTAAATATGTTTGGATTTAGAATTCACTTATGATAGAAACACAAACATAGTACACACCCACACATACATATGTATACTGTTAATAAATCTATACTAGTATGTTCGCAATTATTACTATAATACAKTGAAATCCTTCATAACAGAAGTTTGGGTGTAACTTGCAAGAATCACCTTAAGCTCCAACACGTCAATCAGAGGATCGGAATCCCATATACATTTCTAACTCATACACTGATCCACCGAAGTTGGGGGTAATATTGATCCGATTTTATCCATTATTGATAATGCTACATTACATTAATATGCCACATACTAATAAAATGTTCCCTGAGATTCATTAAGGTACTTTTCATACCATCAGCAATTATATGGATTAAATGTTAAGATGTTATAAGTTGGGTATATGGGAGACAAAGGAAGTATTAACATGCTTCAACCCATTTATGACACACAGCCATACTATTGTCATAAAAATATTATCCTTGAATTGCAATTATATATATCACACATTTACCGATATTCGCGGTACAAAGGGAACTATATAAATAGCTAGGGGTTTGGAGGATGGAGTCAAGTGTAGGAGTTTCACGCAAGTGAGGAAAGTTCTCTGATCGCCATTCACTTGGGAGTGGCCAAAAACGGCTAACAAATTAAGCATTACGATTTGAGGGCATACAGCTGGAATGTCCAGCCCATTAATTGGGAAGGTGCCTCTGTCCAGCTGGTTGATGTCCTCGTGAAAATAAAGGCTGACATCACCGCTGTCCATGAAATGCAATGGRCGGGACAAGGACTGAGGCGAGGAGGTCCTTGTGACATTTACTACAGTTACCATATAAATGAGCGCAAGTTTGGTTTGGGATTCGTGGTGGGAGAGAGGTGAGAAATTCACCAAGCTACCTGGCTGTCTCTGGATCGAAAAGAGACTAACCAGATCGATCATGTTGTAATAGATGGAAGGCAGGTCTCCAGTGTTTTAGACGTGCGTACGTCCTAATGTCGACTCGGACTACTATCTTGTTTCAGCCAAGATACACACTCGCCTCTGTGCAGCAAAAAACGTACGACATCAAACACAAGGAAGGTTCGACGTCGAGAAGCTGCAATTACAACAGACAGCCGAACGATTTTCTATTCGGCTTGCACTCCTGCTGAGAGCACTCGTCAACAACTCGGTATAAGATAACTGTGGGACGTCCTTTCAAGCTCTTTAARTACAGCTGTAACTAAAATCATTGTGAGAGTCCGAAATGCATGAGTACGAAGAGCTTGATAAGTTGGCCGACAGRGTTAATGCTCGAAAATTATACGAAAAAATGCAGCGACTAACAGAAGGATTCAATACCGGAGCAAACTCTTGTAGAACCCCTAGGGGTGATCAGTAACAGATGCCCAAAGCATATTAAAATTATGGAGGGAACACTTCTCCAACTTGCTTGCTTGACAGTGAAAGTATAATTCCAGGAGAAGGCGATAAGCCTCCTTAACATCGCGTACAAGGTTCTATCRAGCATATTGTGTGAAAGAATAAAGCYCACCATCAATAAACTGATTGGACCTTATCAGGCCTGGCAAATCAACAACTGACCAGATATTCACCATGCGAAAAATCTTGGAAAAGACCCTTTAAAGCTGCTTTTGACGGCATAAAAAGAAKCTGCCTTTATGCCGCTATGTTTGAAATTGGTATCCCCGCAAAATCCAAAATAGATAAGGATGGGAAGCATATAGGTCTGGTATTGAACGARGGSAAGACGAAATATCTCCTGTCATCAGACAAACAGTCATAGCACTTGCGACTAGGCTTCAATGTCACTGTTGACATTTTCGTCTTGGAACCAGCATTAACAGCAACAATAATGTCAGCCTCGAAATTCAACGCAGAATAACTCTRGGYAACGGGTGCTACTTCGAACCAAGTGGGCAATTGGGAAGTAAAGTCCTCTCTCGACGAACAAAACCAAAACTCTATATAGTAAGTCACTCATTATTCCCTTTCTGCTGTATGGATATGATTACGAGTTTTCCAGAGAAATGTAGAGCAGATGAAGAGGAAGACCTCAATTCCGCTAAAGAGGTCAGGTGGATGATCTGGATGTACTTGGTACTTGAATTGGCTCCAAATTGGGTACTGTAACTGCGTAATCGGTGTCTACGCCAGTAAAAAAGAAGAAGTTATATAGTTATCTGGGAGATATGTTTACTAAAACCATTATAGGGCGGGGCAACCCTATATTTTTTTCAAAGTTTTTTAGCCCATGGGTGCCCCCTGCTTCTGCAATCCTCTGCGCGAAACGGCGGCTCAATATCTGATTTAAGTGCTTAGTTATGGCACTTTATAAGTGTTCCTTTAATAACGATTTGTGGGCGTGGAAGAGGTCCTATCACGCTTATCTATCTCGTTGTAACCAACCATTACGTGGCCTAAATTATTATACTCTTTAGTAACATGTTGCAATAGTRTAAAACMCAAAAAGAACAAAAAATGTACAAAATTTTTGTTATCAGAGATAATTTGAACAAAAAATTACGTAAATAGTGTCCATGTCTAATTATATATAGTTTTTGGTTTTGTATTAAAATATCAGTTTAATAAGTCCGGTTATRGAAGGTGTCCGGTTATAAGAACTATTCGTAATAGAGATTTCACTGTATTTATGTATCAGTGTCCCAAAATTTATACAAGATTTTAAGTAAATACAAGATGTGCCAATATTTGCCTCCATTTATGTAGTAAAGTTTTAACTGGGCTCACATATTCGGTACATAAGGTGTTGAACATTTTTTTTGTTGGATTTGGACACATTTTGGTCAAAAAGTGCGCTACTTTAAGTAATTATTACTGCAAAATTTTATTTCTTTATATTAATTACTTTTTAATTTGTGTTAATTTTTACACACAGGGGCTACCTACTCCGATCCCTTGGTCCAAATTACAGTTTTGTATCTTAATGGACGATTTGTGGGCGTGACAGTTGTCCGACTACCCAATTCACCTGCACACCAAGTTTCGTCAAGATATCTCGATTTTTACTCAAGTTACAGCTTGCAGGGACGGACAGACAGACAGTCACCCAGATTTCAACTTTTCTCTACATCCTGATTATTTATATGTATATGTATATATAACCCTATATCTATATCGATTAGTTTTTGGTGATACGTACAACCCTTAAGTGAACAAAACTGTAATATCCGTATTATATTATGTAGCAACTGGTTGCAAGAGTATAGAAAACCAATAGACATCTGACAGTTTAGGGTTAGTAAAAATAATATTAATTTTGGCATACAGTAGCGTGAAAAATATAAATATACACACAAAGCAAACCACAGAACTAAAATTTGTTATGAATAATATTGTAATTTTTAAACAAGTTTTATACATTTAGAACATCCCCTCCTACTAATAAACTCGGCTATTCGTTTAGGCATGGATTCAAACAAGTGTTCAAGATAATTTTTATTAATTTCTTCATTCCATTTTTTCCATTTCTTTTAGACATTTGGATTTGTCCATATAATGCCAGCAGTTCTCAACTGGATTGAGATCTGTTTGCTGGCCACATGAGAGACTTAATTCCATAAAAATCTTTTTGTTTTGTAACCTGTAAGTGTATGTAATGGATTATTGAAAAATGTAATTCAATATTTTTACGCTTTAGATAAGGTTTTRGCTCTTGGGGCTGAATCATCCTGAAAATAAACTTTTTAGGTGACATTTTCCCAATCTGATGTAGTCCATGTTTTGTGTGATTTTGCCCACTCTAGTCGCTGTTTCGTCATGTCTTGTAATCGGAGATAGCTTTTTGGTTGGACGTTGCGCTCGAGATTATTCAGAACATTTTACATAAAACGTGTAGTTATTTTTACCCTAATGCACATCCGTTTAATTTGTCGTATGTGACGAGGTTTTACTTTTTTCGGACGTCCACTGTCCTTTTTTCAAGCTACTTATCCTCATTTCACGAGTTATTTGACGTTTGGATAATTTATCTGTATAAATAAAAATGAATCRCCAAAATGTATGTACGCTCATAACATTCATACGACTGAACCAAATTAATATGGCCGTTGATGGCCAAGGATGGTTTTTGCGGCAAGAAAAATTCGAATAATTCCCGGGAAACCCGTAAAAACAACTCTTCTTTTTCCCATACAAACGAACGAATGTTTCTTTGTTAGTAACGCTAAGAGAACGGCTCTTAGTAACTCTTTTCCATACACTTTTT